ATGTTACATTTATTATTTCTAATGACATGATAGTCATATTTATAGTCTATGTAATATAATTAATAAATTTGTATATGTACTAAGTAGGCTGTCTAAATATTTCAGGAAGTGGTTTTGTCTGCTTATTATGGTTATACAGCATCAATTACTCATTATGGAATCATAGTTTGGGGTAGCATTGCAACAATTGATGAAGTTTGCTTAGCACAACAGAAATGTATACGAGCGATCTGTGGCCTTAGTCTTTGTTTAGCTGCAAGGCTATTTTTCGTAAGCTGGGAATATTAACTGTAGCAAGTATGTATATTTTACAACAAAGACCAGACCTCTTTAATCAATCCGAGAAGTACAAGGAAACCAGGTAGACTAGTGCCAGACTATTGTCCTTTTACTGTACTATTCCAAAGAAATTTTTATAGCATGGGTAATAACATATTTAATAAAATACCGAATGATTTGAAAGAATTGTCGAAAAATCGAATGTGCTGGAAATTACAGAAATTGCTTTTAGAAAATTAGTTATTATAATCTTAAAGGATTATTTGAATATACCCAATAAACTTATAGCACTTATAGTACATATTCAGAACTATATATTTGTTTAATGTAAGTTAAAATTTTTGCATGCTGATGCCGACGGTAAGATATGTTGCACTAATTAATAACTTCTTTGTAAACTTATATTTAACCATATGCAAATAAAATCATTTCATTTAATTTCCTTCAAGGTTTTGCAAGTACCTATACTTGTTTTGTGGACGCGCCTAATGCAGTACATTCCACTAAGGGAAAACATTGTAAGGCGGTCCGGCAAACGACAATGGAAAAAGCGCTAAGCCCCCAATGTACATTAAAATGTATTAAACGTAACATGCTTCAGGCCCAAGCAAGTATGCCCTCAGATTTGTGTGAAATACATATTTTATTATTTAGATATGGTCATGTAGAATACAGAGTGCTAAATTTGAATGCAATATTTTTGTTACAATGTACACTTTGCGTTTACGTGATCGTGGGACTAATATAATCACTTCACATGTAATGACCTTAGGAGGCTAAGCTGCACAAAATCATCAAAGTTTAAAAAAATAAATTTGAAACTTTTGCACATGATCAATTAGTACAATTTTCAACAAATAATTTCGACAAATTGCATTTCTTTAGACGTCACAATTTTTTGAAAGGGTATAAAAGGGGTAGTGGGAAAACACTATATTAATAATTTAATTACTTCGTTAGTAGAACTAGATAGAGCAAATAAGAAATGAGGAAATCAAGACAATTAAATAAAATGTAGGAGTTGAAATAACTTGTCTATTAGATAACAATACATTTGAAAGAATCCGAAATTACAACCGATAAATAATAATACTGTAAAGTAAGTAAGCCTATTCAGAGTAACCCAACAACAATTATCGTACATATAGGGTTTATTATAAAACGTTGGTGGGCGCGCTGCGTAATACCGGTGCACGACTCACGTTACAGGCCCGTGTTGCGTGCGCGCACATTTTATACAACTCCTCGCTTCTGATCATCCGATTGTACACTACTATTACATTATTATAATAATCGATGAATCGCGTTCCACCAAGAGGAGCATTTTGTTTGTTGTATGTTTGATCTAGTTTATAATAGTCGTAAAATGCAGACGCTTTCCGCAAGGTTATAAATATAAAAAGGATTTTATTAAACTTAGTTTTAAAGTAGTGATTTTTACTAATGGTTGTAAAAATCACTACTTTAAAATTGCCTATTGCCTTTCAAGCAGAGGCCGTTACATGCAATAATGGATTTCTGGTGTTTACGATAGTTACAACTATATGTATGTAGATAAATAGATCGATAAAACGTTTATTGGTTTGCATCGTATACAACATTATATTATAATAAATAATTAAAAGCGAAATACAGTGAAATTAAAATTAAAGGTTTTAATTAAAATACAAAACGTTAACCTAATGATCAGCACTTTACGCGTGCTTTAGTAAGCCAAGTAGGTCATGGCTCAGTGCGAAATTTTTCTTAAAGCAAAGCACTGATTTTCAGCCACCACCTTCGAGGTGGACGCGTAGAGAATATAAGGAAGTTTCTTGAAACGCCGTCTAACAAGTTAAATACCGTCGAACAAGGTCGACACCTCTGACGGTCGCTTACGCAGCGACGACATATCCAATTATGGGATTTGCGTAGTGAGCTTTAGGTATTTCATGTCAAACACTTTTGGGGGGTCAGAAGGTAAAGCCATTGAAGTGCAACCCCGAATTATGGTCTAATAGTCAAATGGCTTACGTGTAGCGGATGTGTCGTAACTTGAGAGGATGTATTGGATTTAAGGCTTATGTGCAAGCAAACGAAATATCAGCTACCGTTTTTTATGTAATAGATAGCCGACAATTTTATGACACGCTTTAGTAAATACATTATGTACACTACTACACGCACGCTTTTTTTTGTACTTCCACGCGAAGACATGACTTATAAGTTTCTTTTTTCTTATGTTGCCAAGTGATGGGGCAAGTCGTGCGACTGATGGTAAGCAACACGTCCGTCCCTAACAATTGCAGCGCCACTCAAAGCTTTAATTGCAAAGATCTGAGGGGCACTGCCACTGCGCCCTTCACCCTGAGGCATAAGTTAAAAAGCCCGATGTGCCTGTTGGTGCTTGGCGGCAGGAGTAGGTGAGGAGGCAGTACTAGACGAACTATTTCACAAGAAGCTCTACTGCTACTTAATCTATCATAAATATTATTATCATACATATTTACAGTTATATATGTACGTTAAAAAAACTTGTATGTGGTGTACTAATAAAAGGTTTGATTTTGATTAATGACACTGTACCATAGTGTAGCTCGCCTAATGAGACGTGTACAATGTATATGTATTGCGGAATGCGCTGGGCGTCTTAAAAGTGGTGAATCCAACGAGCCAATTGCGATAATTGCCCCAACGACACCTCTCTTGCCCATGCGTGACTTTAAACGCCAATAATGCACTCAAAAACGACTTAAATACCCACATTTAACGCACAGACTTTATTCTTAAGCTGTCATGTTAAGGTTTAAAATTCCAAGTTCTATACACGCGAATCGTTCCTCTGTAGAGTACACGAGTGTTTCGCCTTCATGTATTTTCTCTATTGAGTGTTATACCAAGAGTACGTGCTATCGCCTGTGAAACTAGTTTCGCTTACAATACCACTTCTGGCTTACGATATTATCAAGGACCGGATTAGGAGACCATAACATACTTGATAAGAGACCCAGCGCTAAACCGAGTTGTTAAATTGGTTCACTATCATTAAATCCACAGGAGGTGTCGTAATTTCGGCGACCATGATCGGGTAAACATAAACGACCATCAGCGTAAAAGCCTTCTTTATAACTAAACAGTTTTCGACCTTGTTTGCAGGAGAAGTGAGTGTGTTTATTGCAGGATTATTAAGCCCGTTCTTTATATCCCTCTATTGGATTGCAGCCTGTAGTACCTACTCATATAATTTATATTTATAAATAACATTAATTTTCTTATAAGGGTGTAAAATACGCATAGCACACAATAATATTTATTTTAAAAATAAAAATATTTCATATCTCGAATAGTCATATGAAAAGAAACAAGTAAGTATAAAGAAGCAATTCGCCTTCGAAAATTATGGACAAGTTCTTATATGAACAAGGGGTTTAACCGAACAATTGTTCAGTGAACGCATTTATTTTTATGT